GTCCATATCCTTTTACACATGGTAAATATGCTTAGGCAAGCAACATGGATTCAAATGAATTTCAATTCATATCTTTATGAAAAGGTTGTCATCAATTACCAAAAGGGGGAGATTGAAAGCTCTAGTTTGGTTTTGGTGAATTGATGAAATCCTAAGTGCTAACCTAGTTTATCTAAGTGATTATGAGATAGGTGGCACCGGACGCTGAGAAGAAAGTGGAACCGGACGCGCAGCGGGTGCGTCCGGTCACCTATGACATACGCTGACGCAAGCGTGGAGGCGAGAAAGGATCAAGCGGACGTAGGGGCGTGTCTGGTCATGCTTGACCTGACGCGTCCGGTCACATTTTTGCCGCTCGGGAACCTTACTGGAAATGATCTGACTCTATGTTGGCGCGAGTCAGGTCAGTGCTGCAGTGCATCTGGTCGATGGCACGGGGACTCAGGCGCACGCGCGACCTGACGCTGCTTTGGCACGTCCGGTCACTCTGTGCTACGTCTGGTTTCAACTTAACAGGTGAACGCGATCAACTCGACCGTTGGAATCAAGCGGCCAAGGTCAAACGCGGGGACACATGGAGTTCGATCCATGATCGGACGCTGGGGTGCCGCGCGTTCGGTCACTTTGATCGACGCGTCCGGTCACCCCGATAACAGTTAGGTGCAGGGGGCCAACGGCTCTATTTCGTGTGAGACTCTATTTATGCCCTTGGCCGGCTCTAGCTCACTCTCTTGGCCATTTACATTGACATAGCAACCTTGTGAGCTTAGCCAAAGCCCTCCCACTCATCTCCATCATTGATTCATCATCTTCGTGAGATTGGGAGAGAATCCAAGTGCATTGCTTGAGTGATTGCATCTAGAGGCACTTGGTGTTTGTGTTTCACTGCGGGATTCGCTTGTTACTCTTGGTGATTGCCACCACCTAGACGGCTTGGAGCAGCGAGGATCGTCGAGCAAAAGTTGGTGATTGTCTCCGGCTCCGATCGTGGTGATTGTGAGGGGTTCTTGACATTTCCTCGGCGGAGAGCCAAAAGGTACTCTAGTGGATTACTCGTGGCTTGTGTGATTCTCATCTTGTGTTGGTTGTGTGGCACCCAATTGAGGGTTTGGCGTGTGATGCCAATTAGCGCGTGAACCTCTAAGTGAGTGAATCGCCACAACTACGACTAGCTTGCTGGCAAGCAAGTGAACCTCGGTAAAAAATCATTGTGTCATCATTTGATTCCGAGGTGATTGGTCTTCATTAGTATTCATTCTTGTGATTGACTGGTTCATTCCTCGACTCGACGGTATAACCATCTCGCTCTCTCTCTTTACATTACTGCAAACTAGTTGTCAAGCTCTTTAGTGTAGCTAGTCGTGAGAGATTGTTAGTTTGGTTAGTGTGGCTCTTTAGTTAGCCTTTGAGAGCACACCAACTTAGTGTACTGACATAGCCATTGTGTGGATAGAAACATTTGCATTAAGAGTGTAGGCACCAAAGATCAACTTGCCGATATATTCACCAAGGCATTGGATGAGAAAAGGTTTTGCAAGCTAAGGAATGAGTTGAACATATTGGATTTCTCAAATATGTGTTGATGCACCTCCCCACTTATATGACATGCCTCTCCTTCAAGCAATCTAAGGTAAAAGTTGATTGGCATGACATACATCCTTGCTAAGGACATGTTTAGTGCATCTAGTCGTCTTTCACATTTGATAGGCTCATTCATGAAAATCAAATGATTTTGATGTTTGTATGGTACCACTATTGCTTCTATGCTTAATTTGGTCTAGTGGTAGCATATGACATGTTTGTGGGCTTGTAAACCTAGTGTTTAATCTAAAAATGAGCTATAAGTATTTAACTCAACATGGTACAAGATAACCCTTATTTGGAGGTATGAAGAAGCTTGTCCTTGGATTAAACCGAGTTAAATATATTTGGTAAGTATTCTAGATTGAACCAAATTTAGGAAAATGATCCTCACCCCATTGATTGACATTGATAATCTCAACCTATCTACATTTTGAACCTTTGTGGTCATTGATGACAAAGGCGGAGAAATAGTGTACAAAGATAATGAAAAGATAACAAAGGGGAAGAAATTGAGAAATTGACATAGAAGGAGAGATATGACAAAGGAAGGGGATCAATTAAAATTTTAAGCACATAAGTAGGGGGAGAAAGCTCATAAACTTGGTGGATGCATTTGAATGTGCATTTCATATGTTTGCTTGTATGGCACAAGTTTTAAATTTTAAATATCCATGCTTGTGTGGTGTATGCTAGTTGTAGGTTTAAATGATGAAATGAAAAACTAGCATGCATAGGTTAAGTAGCTAGACTCTGCTCACATTATAAAAACTAGACCCTTACTTCTAATGTTGATCTCACGGAGTATTCTAGTTTTTTTTTTTCTTTGTGTATGTCTAGTTACTCATGGTGCTAAGGATGGTATATTGGTGCACTCCGATTGATATCACGCTTCAAAGGTCCATCTTTATACCTTAGCATCATTTGATAGACATTGTCTCCTATATTTCCTATCTAAGCATATGTGTAAGCTACAATCCAAACTCTTAGCACGTATGTAGGGGGGCAATTGCTACCATTTGAAGTTCATAAAACTTGTCCATATCCTTTTACACATGGTAAATATGCTTGGGTAAGCAACATGGATTCAATTTAATTTCATTTCATATCTTTGTGAAAGGGTTGTCATCAATTACCAAAAATGGAGAGATTGAAAGCTCTAGTTTGGTTTTGGTGAATTGATGAAACCCTAAGTGCTAACCTAGTTCATCTAAGTGATCATGAGATAGGTAGCATTATTCCAAGTGGTGAAGTAACGGTGAAGATCATAATGATGGTAATGGCATGGTGATGATCAAGTGCTTGGACTTGGAAAAGAAGAAAGAAAAACAAAAAGGTCAAGGCAAAGGTGAAACTTGATAGGAGCTCTTTCGTTTTGGTGATCGAGACACTTAGTGAGTGTGATAACATTCAGGATCGATAGCCGTACTATTGAGGGGTGAAACTCGTATCGAAATACGGTTATCAAAGTACCACTAGATGTTCTAACTCATTGCATATGAATTTAGGATCTAGTGGAGTGCTAACACCTTTGAAAACATTAGTGAAAATATACTAACACGAGTGCACAAGGTGATACACTTGGTGGTTAGCATATTTGAGTAAGGGTAAAGAAGATAGAGTTGAAAAGGAGTTTATTGCGCTGGTCACGGGGTGACTGGACGCGTCCGGTACTGTCTCCAACGGCAGTGTTCCTGACGTGACCTGACACGTCCGATATCGATACCGGACGTGTCTGGTATTCTGGCCAGGCGCGGGCAGAGTTGCCGAGGTGACCGGACTCTGGCTCAGTGGAGTGACCAGACACTGACAAGTTACTATTCAGTGTCAGGTCAAAGTGATATAGCGCGAAGTAGGATCACAGAGAGCGACCGGACGCGTCCGGTGTGAACCAGCAAGTCTCGAGTTTTCCGCGCAGAATTGATCGGACGCTGGGAGCGTCCGGTCGGCCCAGAGCGGCTCTGGGAGCTCTCTGGACTCGACCAGACGCTGCATCTCCCATGTCTGGTCCGGTCAGCCCGAGCCGCTCTGGGAGCTCTCTGGACTCGACCGGACGCTGTGTCTCCCGCGTCCGGTCGTTTTCTAACAGCACGTCCGATCACGTAGCATTAGCCATTGGGCGTGAATGGCTAAACAATTTGAAAGGGACACGTGTCGGTCAGGCTACGACCGTACGCGTCCAGTCACCACACCGAACACGTCCGGTCATCCCGTAGTCAGCCCAATAATTGAGCCAACGGCTCTATTATTTGAGGGTGTCTATAAATACCGTTCGGCCGGCTCTAGCTCACTCTCTTGGTCATTTGCATTGACATAGTAACCTTATGAGCTTAGCCAAAGTCCCTCCACTCATCTCCATCATTGATTCATCATCTTTGTGAGATTGGAAGAGAATCCAAGTGCATTGCTTGGGTGATTGCATTTATAGACACTTGGTGTTCGTGTTTCGCTGCGGGATTCTCTTATTACTCTTGGTGGTTGCCGCCACCTAGACGGTTTGGAGCAGCGAGGATTGTCGAGCGGAGGTTGGTGATTGTCTCCGGCTCCGATCGTGGTGATTGTGAGGGGTTCTTGACCTTTTTCCGGCGGAGAGCCAAAATGTACTCTAGTAAATTGCTCGTGGCTTGTGTGATCCTCATCTTGTGTTGGTTGTGCGGCATCCTATTGAGGGTTTGACGTGTGATGCCAATTAGCGCGTGAACCTTCAAGTGAGTGAATCGCCACAACGAGGACTAGCTTGCCGGCAAGCAAGTGAACCTCGATAAAAATCTTTGTATCATCATTTGATTCCGAGATGATTGGTCTTCATTGAGTATTTATTCTTGTGATTGATTGGCTCATTCCTCGACTCGGCGGTATAACCATCTTGCTCTCTCTCTTTACATTACCGCAAACTAGTTGTCAAGCTCTTTAGTGTAGCTAGTCGTGAGAGCTTGTTAGTTTAGTTAGTGTGGCTCTTTAGTTTACATTTGAGAGCACACTAACTTAGTGTAGTGACATAACCATTGTGTGGATAGAGACTATAGAAACTAGAATTGTGGTAGGTGGCTTGCATTTTTAGTAGGCTAGTGTAACACTCGCTTCGTCTCATATTTGTCTAACCGGTTTGCTAAGTGTTGTTGTAGGAATTCTAATAGGCTATTCACCCCCCTTTAGCTATTAGGACCTTTCAACAGCGTGCTTTTCTAGATCGGACTAGGGCTAGGAACTATGGTGGGGTGCTGGCGGCTACGGTGAACCTCGTACCTTGCGCCCCGACCTCCACCTTCTTCTTTATAGCACTGCACGACAGAGGGCATCAGGCAGAAGAACGGCTAGGCACCCCCGATCAGGACACGGATCAGGAGGCCAATTGACCGTTGGACCAACTGGTAGAGATCTATGTAACACGAACGGCTCTGATCTTGCCGACCAGGCAGCTACACCGATCTCTTCCGGATGATGTGGACGTCCATCGTCAGCGTCTTGGTGTTCTTCACCAGGTTGAAGAGGCAGATGTCACCTTGTTTCAGCTTGTTGTCAGTCACAAACTTTTTCCAGCCTTTACCAAGGATCTGCTGCCTCCCGTACTTGTCCTGGAATTCAGGTTCCCATGCACCGTCCTTGCGCCGAAGCCTCATCCTCATAGTCAGCTGCTTCTCGCCGCCGCCGCCGCCTGGAAGATACTCTCTAGCATACGCTGAACTGATTCCCTGGTACCATATGGAAGATCATGTAAAAGAATCCAGTGATGATACAGGCACAGTCGCACAGAAATAGGTTTTGGTTGTTTTTCTTCTTCCGGCCGGGCAAATAAGTTGCAGTGAACTGATCATATCAAATTAAAGAGACCTTTCCAACTTCATGATCACCAAAAAAATATATATATATGGTGCGTGTGACTTGACTACCAAATCAACAGGAATAAACCTTCGAAAAATGAAAAGGTAGTTTTCTTTTCTTTTTACTTGTATTTATATATAACACTGCACAAAACAGAAAGGAAATGATGACTCACAAGAATGCACTGCCTGCTGATGTTAACATTGCTGTTCTTCCTGACAGTCACATATACGGGGATCTCCGACCGGATAGCTCCAACTTTCTCTTCTACTTTACTCCTCTGTTCATCAGTTAGAGATGTGTACCGTATGCAGGCTTAGCAACTCCATGCCTCTTAGTTGGAGACACAAATCCTGCAGAGGAACATGCACGGTCATCGGATTCAGAAACACGCTCCATATATAGAGCTAAATCAAAAGGAACACATCAATTGCGACAGCAACACTTGTATTTGTAACCTGGTGGCTGCAGGCAGCGGTTTTCTTCAAGAGTGCGAAATATCAGTTTCACTCTGTCGTTCTTGCTCCTTGCTGGTTGAAAAATGCAGATTTCACCTTCTCCCAACTTATTGTGGCCAATGAACTCCAGCCAGCCAGTAGAAACAGCGTAGTGAGGGTCACTGGTTATGTACAGATTGATGGTCCATACTTTGTTACCATCAAGTTGACAGAGTTGGATGGTCCCGTTTTCGTTTGCGAGATGTTCCATGACATATTCCTTGGAGATTTGCTAGCACAAATGGTTTATAACTATATTATTTTTATTTACAAACTTCGATTTGATCAGTGTAGGTGAAGCCTCAATACTCAAACATGCATGATGCACAAGTGAAACATATCTTAAATGCATGAACACCTACTGACCAGAATTCCAGAAGCCAAGCTTTCCTTGTACATTGCCGTGATGTAAAAAGGAATTTTGGGTTGGATTTTCTGCTCAAGGGCGATAACTTTAGCTTCTTGCTCACTTGTCATACTGCATCCTGCTGGTAAGACAACGCAAGACTTGATGAGCTTCTGGGAGGCACCTGAATTTGTGGGCTCCTGATGAATGCCTTCAGAAGATGGGACATGTTCAGCTGCATAATGCCAAGTTACCAACCAAGAAAAAAAGCATTAGTACACAAAGAATGCAAGAAGTGCTGAAATTGTACGTACATTTGATAGCAATTAGGATTGCGTGGAATCGTGGATGAATTGATTGGAGAGACCTATGTACATATATATAGGAGAGGAGATCTGGTGGCTTATAGAAATAGGACCTGCCGAGATCTCCTCCTAATATCTCTCTAACCATATATAGGGCTGGCTGGCTATACTAGGCACACGCCCAACATATACACACGCACAACACATATATATTCTAACATCCTCCCGCAGTCACAGCGTCGATGGAGCGAACGTTGAGACTGGATCGAAACTCCGTGAAGACAGCAGTGGGCAAGCCTTTAGTGAAGATGTCAGCGAACTGAGACGTCGTTGGGACGTGAAGAACGCGGACAGCACCTAGGGCCACTCGTTCTCGAACGAAGTGAAGATCAATCTCAATGTGCTTGGTGCGCTGATGCTGAATGGGGTTGGAAGACATATATACGGTGCTGATGTTGTCACAGTAGACCAAAGTGGCATGGTGCAGAGGTGTATGCAGCTCAGACAACAACTGTCGTATCCAAGAGGCTTCAGCAACGGCATTGGCGACCGCACGATACTCAGCTTCTGCACTAGAGCGGGAGACTATGTTCTGGCGCTTGGAGGACCAGGAGATAAGATTGTCCCCTAGAAACACTGCGTAACCTGATGTGGACTTACGAGTGTCAGGACATCCAGCCCAATCCGCATCAGAGTAGACAATGAGATTAGGTGCACTGGAAGCTGTAATATGTAAGCCCAACTCCAAGGTGCCACGAACATAGCGCAGAATGCGCTTCAAGGCTGCAAGGTGAGGCTCACGCGGGTCATGCATATGAAGACACACCTGTTGCACGGCATAAGCAATGTCTGGCCGTGTGAAGGTGAGGTATTGCAAAGCTCCTGCTAGACTCCGAAAATCTGTAGGATCTGCAATGGGAGCGCCATCAGCGGAAAGTTTGGGGTTGATGTCAACCGGTGTGAAACAAGGCTTGCAGTCTGCCATACCAGCCCGGTCTAGTATATCCAACATATACTGATGTTGGGACAAGAAGAGTCCACAACTAGTGCGCTGTACCAGCATGCCCAGAAAGTGATGGAGTTCTCCCAAATCTTTCATAGAGAATTCACGCTGAAGAGTTGCAATGATGCGCTGGCGCAGATCCGTTGATGAGGCAGTCAGCACAATATCATCCACATATAACAGGAGATAGGCAATCTCTGAACCCCGTCGATAGACAAACAGAGATGTATCCGTCTTAGCCTCAACGAAACCCAACTGGAGGAGAAAAGAGGCGAACCTGCTCTTCCAAGCACGAGGCGCCTGTTTCAGGCCATATAGAGACCGATTTAGGCGGCAGACGAAGTCTGGGCGAGAGGTATCCTCAAAACCAGCTGGCTAGGCACAATAGACGGTCTCTGAGAGTGTCCCATGAAGAAATGCATTCTTCACATCTAGCTGGTGAACTGGCCAGCTGCGGGAGACTACCAAAGAAAGAACTGTGCGAACGGTGGCAGGCTTCACAACAGGGCTGAAGGTCTCGTCATAGTCAATGCCAGGGCGTTGTGTAAAGCCACGAAGAACCCAGCAAGCCTTGTAACGCTCGAGAGAACCGTTTGCTTTGAGCTTGTGCTTAAATATCCACTTGCCAGTCACTACATTGGAGCGCGGGGGTCGCGAAACAAGATCCCAAGTGTGGTTGGCAAGTAAGGCCGAGAACTCCTCCTGCATAGCTGCACGCCAATGAGGATTAGCAAGGGCGGCCCGATATGTCCGCGGAATCGGTGACAAGGTGGTCGCCTGAAGTGTAACCGGTTGTCGAAAACCAGATTTCCCACGTGTCCGCATGGCATGCTGGTTGGCCACAGGGACGATGGGAACTGCCCCACGAGGGAAAGTAGCAGTGACATCCGGTGGCGGAGGAGGTGAAGTAGTCGAAGTCGGCGACGGAGGAGGCCGCGGTCGACGGCTGTACGTCAAATCGAACTGGTGGCACCGGCGCCCGGGCAGCCAAGTCAGGTAGAGGAGGCTGAGGGTGCCGGCTGTAGACGTGACCAGCCCAGCGCTAAAAGTCGGGCGGAGGTCCAGTCGGGCGAGGTGGTGATGCTGCAGGGCCGGCCGATGCCGGGCTAAGGCTGCCGGGTGGTGAAACCCTGCTGGGCACTAGCGGGCTGGCTGTCGAGGGAGCGGGTCCAGCCAGTGTAGGGGCGCCAGAGGCCAGAGGAGCAGCAGCACGCCATGGGGCGCTGCTCCCGGGGTGAACAGCCACACGTGGTTGTGCGGTGGCGGTGCCAGAAGAACCTGCAGGCATAAAACATGATGGCACTAGGGAAGCCACCAGTGGGTCAGTATAGTCCAAAAACTCGAAGTCCTAGGGGGTGGGACGAGTGTTGTCCTCTGAGAAGGGAAACGATGACTCATCAAAGACAACATGGCGGGAAATGATGATCCGGTTGGAAGACCGGTCGAGACAGCAGTAGCCTTTATGATGAGGAGAGTAACCAAGAAAGACACACAAGGAGGAGCGGGGAGCGAGTTTGTGGGGGGGCGGTAGCGGAGAGGTTGGGGTAGCAGCGACAACCGAAAACACGAAGATGCTCATAGGATGGAGGAGCCCCATAGAGAACCGTATGGGGAACTGAGAAATTGAGTGCCTTGGTTGGAAGAATATTAAGGAGTGTGGCGGTGGAAAGAACCTCAACCCAGTAGGCTGGTGGGACGCTAGCCTGAAAAAGAAGGGAGCGAACAACATTATTGATAGTGTGGATAATGCGTTCAGCTTTACCGTTCTGTGAAGATGTATATGGGCAGGACATGCGTAACTAGACGCCATGAGAAAGAAAGAAAGCGCGGGAAGTGTGATTGTCGAACTCGCGGCCATTGTCGCACTGGATGCCCTGAACAGTGACACCGAACTGTGTAGTAACATAGGCAAAGAAGTTAGACAGTGTGGAAAAGGTGTCGGACTTTAGTCGTAGCGGAAAAGTCCAGAGATAGTGCGAAAAATCATCGAGAACAACAAGGTAATACTTGTGCCCAGAAACACTTGGAATTGGTGATGTCCACAAATCACAATGGATTAATTGAAAAATATGAGTGGTTCTGGAGGTAGACGCGTGAAAAGGTAAACGAGTATGACGCCCCAACTGGCAAGCATGACAAAGTGTATGACTAGCACTATTATTACATGAAATGGCAGATGACTGTGCTAGCCTAGACAAGACCTCATGACCGGGATGACCAAGATGCTGGTGCCAAAGTGAAGGACTGGAGACGGCGAGGAGAGCAGAGGCGGACTCCGGAAGCTGCAGTGGGTAAAGAGAACCGGAGCTGTCACACCTGACGATCTCTCTCCGAGAATGAAGATCCTTCACAGAACAACCAAGAGGGTCAACCTCCACATAACAGTTGTTATCGGAAGTAAACTGGCGAACCGAAATGAGATTCTTAATAAGACCAGGTGAAACAAGGACATTATTAAGATGAAGATTGTTAGGTAAAGTGGTAACGCCAGTGGAAGTAACGGGAAGAAGGTGCCCATTACCGACAACAATATGAGATGGAAAAGATGAACGTGGAGTATGAGGAGTAGTAGTTATACCAGCATCTGAAGTCATATGATTAGAAGCCCCGAAGTCAAAGTACCAGTTGGTGGAGGGGGGCTGCTGGAGCGACATCGTCTGGAAGTTGGACGCCAAGCTGGAGGCATCCCATCCTGGAACAGCGGGGTTGTATAGGCCGGCTGGTGGTACTGCCCACTGCTGCACACCGGGGTGAACACCCCAGCCCTGCTGGGCGGCGGCCAGCAGCGCATGGGGTACCTGCTGGCCACCGTTTGGCTGCTGTACACCGGCCAGAAGTGCTTGAGGATGTGGGAGCGTCATTGGGCGGGGTCCAGGCCACATGTTGATGGTCCCAGCCCATGGTTGATGAAGATTGGGCCAGCCGGAGGACCCCAAAGCTCCTGGAGCAGCAGGCTGACCGCTGGCGGCGGCGGCCCGCGCGCGACGTCTCCTTAGCACGGCGGCGGCGGCAGCCGAGGCGTCGGTGACGGCACCTGAGGCCGCGCTCGAGGGCAGAGGGGGCTGCGGAGCGAGCGGGGAAGCGGATGGAGGTGAGCCAGCCATGGCCGGTGCGGCGGAAACCGCGCACACGGGAAAGATCGGCGGGCGGGTGCGGAAGGAAACTCTAGACTCGTGATACCATGATAGCAATTAGGATTGCGTGGAATCGTAGATGAATTGATTGGAGAGACATATGTACATATATATAGGAGAGGAGATATGGTGGCTTATAGAAATAGGACCTGCTGAGATCTCCTCCTGATATCTCTCTAACCATATATAGGGCTGGCCAGCTATACCAGGCACACGCCCAACATATACACATGCACAACACATATATATTCTAACAACATTAAACACATCAAATTCTTACTTTTCTTCTGTGATGAAGGAGAGTCTGCTGGGTTCATCTTCGGAGTTTTTCTAATACTGCCGCTTGGGCTACCAACTGCCAACCTTTTGCCTGTCGGTGACTGCATTTGCTTACCATGACAACATTTCCTTTCCTGCATACAAGGGATGCTGTCCAGCATAACGCAGGAGAGCTCTTTCTCGCAACCACTTCGATCAAAGATTCGGACTAAGTGTGAGTTCCTACTGTTTGTGAACACTAAAAGATCACCTAGTTCAAATTCGTAAGCACTGGCAAATTCTGCCCATCCAGACCTCAGGACCAGCTCATTATGTTGTTCTTCAGCAACCTCAACGGTGTATGTCTTGCCATTTGGCACATCGAGGGTGACTTGTTCAGATATTTGCTCTCTGATATTGGCCACAAACTTTTTCGGTATGGTCTGCATGTGCATGAGTTAGCCAATTAGGTGTTTTTGTACGTAACAAGAGGTGATTGCTGAGGTAATGTGAAAAAAAGGACAGGAACTACCACAGCTACTCCCTCCATTTCAAATTATAATACATTTTGACTTTTCTTGATATGTTACTTTTAGTAATTAGTATGTATTTAGACATGGTGTATCTAAAAAAAAGCCAAAACTTCTTATAACTAGGAATAGAGGGAGTACTAATCAGTAATGACTGACGGCCAGGTTGATATTGTGGTCACCTTTCCTACATCATGATTTCAAGAGAATCCTTTTCCACATCATTAATTTTAAGGGAACTGGGGCTGGGACTCTGGGAGCACATGTGATTAGAGGATAAATATGAAGTTTTCACGTTTAGATTCAGAAATGGAAGATTTTGGTTTTCCAGCAAAATAAATGATCTTTTTTTTTGCGAAAATAAAAGATACATATCAGTACACAAGATTGCAATGAACAGGGTCATGGACTCATGGAGAATGTCTTACCACTCCATTTTTGAAATCACCAATCATAACCTTGAAGAAACACTTCGGATCATCCATGTGATTCCAATAATGATGTACAATGCACTCTTTGCTGACTGTCCCAGCTGATTTGTTCATCCTACCACCTCTCCTACAATGTAATTTGAGATGAAGCTATTATAGGGGAACATTAAATCTAATACAGGCAACTACTCAATCACACCCTGACAGCAGAGCAGATTTGGATTGCAGGTTATCTACGAACTGAAAACACCAATTTCAGATACCTGTTTTCTTCAAAAAATAATTTCAGACACCTGTAAGGGAAATTTTCCAGCACTACAGTACAAGTGGAAGTGACCCTACAACTTTCAGAAGTCGTGATTTTTTTTTGAAAGATCAGAACTCGTGTTTTTTAGATTTAAAAAAAAAACTCCTAAGCTCTCCTACCAGTTCAAGAAAAAAACAAATAAATCAAAGACAGAAGCAAAAAAATCAAAAGCATCTCAAAGAAGTCTGATGCCATCAAAGAACATGCACGCTTGATGTTTCCTCAGAAAACATTTTGTACCCAAGAATCATGTACCAAGACAATCGGAGTAACAGTATGACTGACCAATCGATGCATGAATGCAGCAAAATCCTCACACACGTCACTGCATGAGCTAGCTTCTTACCTTTGGGGCTCTTCCTTCCAGCTGCACGGACCTGAACTCCTGAAGCAGCCACCTGAAGCACTGCACCCTCAACGCTATCTTACCTGTAGTTACTTCTTCTAAAGCTCAAGTCTCAGGCCTCCACCATCTGATGACATCCTAATAACTTCTTCCCAGTCCAATTGTCTTCCAGCTGCACAATTCAATCCAGCAGCAATGCATGCTCGAATGTGGGTGCTTAATGCAGGCAGCCTTACTTCCTCCACTCACGCATGGCATCACTACCCTTCCAGTTCTCTCCCACCTGCGAAACTCAACTAGGCCTACTAATAAATCTCGCAAATTCCTGATGCATGTGGGTTAGTGGGTATTCATCATGCAGCCCCCACTCATGCATGCCATTACTAGCCTTTATAATCCCAAACCAGCACTGTTACTATTGTTACCTCTTATTCTGTTTCAATCAACATTGTAATGAATGATGACCTTGTAAATCATGTCATGCGGTTCCGTACTTGAATTGAAGCACGTACAGATCAGGTGCTCAAAACATTCTGAATGAACTAGTTTTAAACTAGCTTTGTTGACTGACTGTACCATCCAACGCAATTCCCCCACCTAGAATTGCAATAAAATAAGCAACACATTAGTTGAAATAAGATTATTCAGAGTACATCGCATTCAGAGTTTCATGCTGGAGATTGGACAGGTTATATATGGAACACCAGTCACCTCCATCTCTTAGGAGTCAGAATCTGGATGGAAACAGCAAACGAACACTGGAAACACAAAAGCTCCGCAATCTTGACAGAACGAACAGCTCTGATCATGCCTGTCACACCCGGTTTCATAAAACAAAACCTAATGCACATCACATGTATGCCAGTATCTGTTTATTCATACATGCGACGACAAAAATGATACATTGCAATGTTTATTACAAAAGCGATTACATATATAAAAATGACCAGAGGGTCTAAACACAAAATTACATCAGAGTTCCAGCAGAGCAGGGTCTCCATCCCTTCAGGCAGCTGACCGGGGGTACACCAGCCTAGCATCGACACCGTCTTCAGGAAACACCATCTTCTAGAAACTCCATCTTCTAGTCCAAACCGCTGGGTGGGGTAGCAAAGGGGACAAAGAGAAGGGTGAGCACATCGAAATGTACTCCGCAAGTGTAGAAAAGTATGACATGCGGGCCAACACAAGGAAAGGCTAACATGGTTTAACACAAGCCCTTAAGCAACACACCTATTACCTTAAACCTTAAGCACCTATTTAACTAGGTGAGATCTTCCTTCACCTCGGAGAACCACTGTAACCAACACTTGAATCCCATCTGAGCACCACACCTGGATCCCATCCAAGCAAACCAACACTTGGATTCCATCCAAGCCTCCCAACTGAACCAGAGCCATCTAATCAAGAAGAAGACCAGGCCGCTCTTGACCGTGAGCACAGCTGATATATCAGTTTTAAACTCTGCAGAGGTTGCACACTTTCACCACGAGTCATGTTTCCCCATCACGCTTCACACTACCTAGGTGCTCAGCGGGGTCACACTACAAGGCCTTTACAAAGTCCCTCCAAGTCTGTTTTACACCTTCACTAAGGTTTCTAACCGCTAATAGTGGGTACCAACACCACTGCAGAAGCCCCCTCTTGTGCCACACAAACCAACCCGATGTAGCATAACTTGGAGGAAACTAATTACTTGACCAAGGCCAGAGCCATATAGCCCTCGAGGTTGCGCTGTTAAGCCGGGTTACTTGTCCATGAACTGGTCCTTAGAATCCAAGCAAGAACGAGCACAATCCATTCCACCAATTCCAACAATCCACCAGCAAACATTTACCCAAAATTTGGCACACACCTCCACCAAAATCAACCATCCTACCGGATTCCTATTCACCATGTTGCTATAAACATTACCAACCCAAGTTACATAAATAATTAATCAATATTAAATGATAACCTTTCCAACCCAAGACTGCAAGCTAAGCAAGACAGCTACCCAACCAACTCAGGTTACAAGGATGATAACATCAAGTTCTAGTAAACCCTAACATAGGATTCAAATTGCGACTCAGCATGCAACTAATGGTCTAACTAAATTAACTCAAATCAAAACAAAAGTAGGAGCAAGATGGTCAAGGACACTTGCCTTCGAACTGGTTCGGATCAGAGGTGTCGAATTCCTGGTCCTAAACATTCACGGTGTCGGCACCTTCTGCGCACAAACAACAAGCATGGGCCCACAAAACAATTAAATAACAGTACACCATAGCACATTAAAAGTTTATAAAACCTATACTAAACAGTAGTACTCGTCGCTACGATCGCGCGGATAAAAAGAACGCGAAAAACGGAGTTGAAATGAAGAAGTTACGGCCTCCCGAAGACCAGAGACTAATCTGCAGAGAAATCAGAGACAAATCCACGATTCTTCCTCCTGGTACTGTAGCTGTTCGCGTGCTACAGTGCTGGCCGGCTGGGAGGCCAGCAGCAGAAAACACAGGGGCAGGGCGCAGGGCCAGCAGAGGGGCTGGGCGGCCGGCTGGGGAGGAGGCAGGGCCGACCGGGAAGGGTCGCGGCTGGCCAGAGAGCGGCGCCGGCGGCCAGCAACAAGGAGCAGAGAAGAAACGAGGGCCCTGTCAATGGAGTTTGCTCGCCGGAGAAGGTAAATGAGATGGAGAACGGGTCAAACGGTGATGGATTCGTGTAAAAAGATATACCACAGCGTAGAGAACGAAGAGATACCACGGCGTAGAGAACGAAGAGATCTACCTCTAGGTGATGGTGGTTGTCGCCAGAACGCAACGGTTTGCACGTAAAAGCTCGCCGGTAGTTCACCGAAAACTAGCCTCTTCCGAACTTCGGCGTCCGATCTTGGAGGCTACGGGTGGCGGCTGCGGAAACGGGTTGTACTTCTAGAACCCTTGCGTCGAGAGGAACACCGGCATATATATAGTCCTAGGGTTTGGAAAAGTTTCGGAATTTCTTAATTTCGAGATTTATTTCCTGTTTAAAAATAATTTCAGGAAATCTAGAATTACTTATATAGTTATATATAACCTTGTGGCTGCAGGCGGCGGCTTTGTACAAGTGGATGACATATCAGTTTCACTACCTTCTTGCTCTTTGATGATTGGAAAATGCAGTTATCACCTTCTTGCAACTTATTGTGGCGAATGAAGCCCATCCAGCCCGTAGAAACAGCACAGTGGTCATCGGTGGTTATGTCCAAATTGATGGTCCGTACCTTGCTACCATCAAGTTGACAGAGCTGGATGGTCCCATTTTCGTTTGTGAGGTGTTTAATGGCATATTTCTTGGAGATGGGCTAGCAAAATGGTTTTAGAACTATATTAGTTTACAAACTTCGATTTGATCAGTGTAGGTGAAGGCTCGATACTCAAACATGAAGCACAAGTGAAGTATATCTTAAATGCATGAACACCTACTGACCAGAATTCCAGAAGCCAAACTGTCCTTGTACATTGCCGTGATGTAAAAAGGAATTTTGGGTTGGATTTTCTGCTCAAGGGCGATAACTTTAGCTTTTTGCTCACTTGTCATACTGCATGCTATCCATGACTTGATGAGCTTCTGGGAGACACCTGAATTGATGGGCTCCTGATGAATGCCTTCAGAAGATGGGACATGTCCAGCTGCATAATGTCAAGTTGCCAACCAGGAAAAAAATTATTAGTAGTACACAAAGAATGCAAGAAAATTCTGAAACTGTATGTACATTACACACATCAAATTCTTACTTTTCTTCTGTGATGGAGAGTCTGTTGGGTTCATCTTGGGAGTCTCCGACTGGATAGCTCCAACTTTCTCTTCTACTTTACTCCTCTGTTCATCAGTTAGAGATGTGTGCCGTGGGAGCATGTATTGAGGGTTAGCAACTCCATGCCTCTTAGTAGGAGACACATGTCCTGCAGGGAAGCCCAGTCACAAACATGGACGGTCATCAGATTCAGAAACATTATTAGCAGACTAGTAGTAAACAAAGAATGCAAGAAAATGCTGAAACTTTATGTACATTACACACATCAAATTCTTACTTTTCTTCTTTGATGGAGAGTCTGTTGGGTTCATCTTCAGAGTCTTTCTGCTGCCGCTTGGGCTACCAACTGCCAACCTTTTGCCTGTTGGTGATTGCATTTGCTTACCATGAGAACCTTTCCTTTCTTGCATACAAGGGGTGCTGTCCAGCAGAACGCAGGAGAGCTCTTTCTCGCAACCACTTGGATCGAAGATTCGGACTTTCAAGTGTGAGTTCCCACTGTTTTTGAACACTAAAAGATCACCTTGTTCAAGTTTGTAAGCACTCACAAATTCTGCCCATCCAGACCGAAGGACCAGCTTGTTCTGTTGTTCCTTAGCAACCTCAACGGTGTATGTCTTGCCATTTGGCACCTTGAGTGTGACTTGTTCAGACATTTGCTCTCTGATGTTGGCCACAAACTTCTTCGGTATGGTCTGCATGAGTTAGCGAATTAGGTGTTTTACATCACAAAGAGGTGAACACTGATGACTGAGGTAAATACAAGTAAAAAAATGGGCCAGGAACCACCACAGCTACTAATCAGTACTGACTTTTTTTAGATGAAGGAAAACAAACATTCCGATCTCTGCACTTACAGATAAGTGCATACAGCCAGTCGAAACAGAACCAATGACTAGAGCATATAGAGTAAGCCTATTCATCACACCTGTAGTTTTCTAACAGCCAGGTTGATATTGTGGTCGCCTTTCCTACATCATTAATTTCAAGAGAATCCTTTTCTACATCATTCATTTTAAGGGAACTGGGACTGGGACACTGGGAGCACATGTGGTTAGAGGATAAATATAAAGTTCACGTTTGGATTCAAAAATGGAATATTCTGGTTTCCCATCAAAATAAAAGATCTCTTTTTTTTTGCGAAAATAAAAGAAACATATCTGTGCACAAGATTGCAACGAACAGGGTCACGGAGAATGTCTTACCACCCCATTTTTTAAATCACCAATCATAATCTTGACGAAACGCTTCCGATCATCCATGTGGTGCCAATAATGACGTGCAATGCACTCTTTGAAGACTGTCCCAGATTTGCTCATCCTACCACCTCTCCTAATAATGTAATTTGAGATGAAGCTATTAGGGGAACATTAAATCCAATGCATGCACCTACCCTACTCATGTACAACCTGACTAAGCAAGTACAAGAGAAATAACCCAAATATATCGGCCATTTTTTCAGAATTATAATGATAGAGGCAGCAAGTATGTTGCAAATATAGCATGATAAGTAGTTGGTTGGTCATTGTACCAAAGTTGTGAGGATGTAAATCAAATATTTTTAGGACCCACAGCTCAGTGCTGCTCCTTTGCCCCCAAAAAGGCGAAAGATACATAAACATCATGGTGACTACAATAACTCAAAACAATTTTAGTTTGTAGGGTAATGCAACTGCAACAAAACAAAAAACATTTTTTTGTGCTCCTGACTACGCATAACATTCAGATTTTTCAGGCCAAATAAAAAAATCAAAATGGGTATCCTAGCCAGAAGCAAATTACGAACTTCATTAGGTGATCAAGATTTAGAAAAGATGAAGAGGCCACTAACCTTGGAAAGGAGCTCCACAAGTCGTTGCACCTTCAGAAAAGTAGCCTCAACACCAGATGCCCAAACTCCAGCTCCAGTCCAGACTATTTAAGGGCAAGGCCAGCCTCACAGGCTCACATTGCCTAGTACCTACATGGTGGATGCTGTACCTGCGTTCCTGTGATTTCTCTCTAGCACATTAGCCAATGTAGGTAATCATAACTTCTACTGGAAATATTGACGCACAAAAAAGAATGGCATGCATGATTACTTCCACTGGGATTCTGGGAATCTAGAGTTCTAGACTGAGAACCAAAGGCTGCGAGGAATCTAATGAAATATGCTAGTGACACTTCGTTTCATATACTAAATAAATTAGCCTACCCCAACTTGCTTGGGACTGAAAGGCTATGTTGTTGTTGTTGTTGTTGTAGAATGCTAATATCCAAATAGAGTTGTAGAAATTTTGTCCTTATCTTGTGCAGCAACCAATAACAAATGAATTGGAAAACAATGAGCAAGAGAGAAGCGGTTCTTCTGCAAGCGGGTTCTCGGTGCAGCAATAAAAACTTACAGGGGTACAATGCAAAGGATGAAAACATATATAGAGTAATTGGTAAATTTATCACAACAAACAGGATGGGAATTATAGATTATCCAAATTGGTTGTATTAAGAAATGAAGAGAGTGAAGACAATCAGTTTTAATTAATTATACTACTATATATATCGATGAAGCATGGGTTGATGGGCTAATGGGTTACATTCAAGAGTGGCAAACCAAACCCCAAAGGTCTTGGAAGTAATGGGAAGCCCTAAAGTTAGGTAATCGAACTTATAACACTAAAAAAGGGCGTACCCAGTGCAGAGACCTCCCACTCTGTGCGGGGTCTGAGGAAAGGTGTCAGTGGCAAGCCTTACCCTCGCCTGTGCAATGCGAGGAGACCGCGACTCGAACCCGGGACCTTCCGGTCACAGGCGATAAGACTCTACCGCTTGCACCAGGCCCGCCCTTCAACCGAACTTATAACACTAAAATAATTATTTATGTGGATTAAAACCCACTTGGTAAAAAAGAGTCATTAATGATAGGGAAGAGGGGAGGAATAGAACTGAACTGAAACTGAGCTCTTGTTATCCCAATGAAGACGATGACATTGCACTGCTTCAGTATCCTGTGGCCTGTGGGAGATTTTACAGCATCTGACAGAGAAATTGATGGAACAGAACATGGCATGTCCAGTCACCAGGGTCAAATCAACTTGGCCTAATCGAGTACAGCAGTGTTTTCTTCCATGAACCTTTGAATGAATATATAAAATCTGCTAACAACTAAACTGAACAATTTTACAGTACTATAGTATAAAAAGTTGGATTGCTTCTGCTGGGTTTCAACTCTAGCCTACCCCAACTTGTTTGGGACTGAAAGGCTTTGTTGTTGTTGTTGTTGTTGTTGATAGTATAAAAAGTTGAAGGTATCATCAGAGATTCTCCAGCATCTCTGGCTGCCAACCGAGTGAGAAGTGCCAAGTGTGACAACTCAGTGATCACTGATCAGATCAGAATCAGCCACGGTTCTGCCATAGGTTGCAGACATATGATGATGATGACCACCTTGTTTTCACTTTCACAAAACTGCTTCACTCGTTAAGCATTGAATAAAAAAAATATTTGGTGTCGGTTCTTTGTACCTTTTTCGTCTTAATCAATTTACATGCAACTTTTCTGCATATTCGAGAGATGTATTGAGAACTAATACAACTAGTATATTAACACAAGCTCCTGTGAGCTATAATCTATGGAGACATAGGTATTAGAAGTTTGTGGATAAATTTAATGTTTACAAGTAATTAAAGTAATTTATATTTGTGCTCTTTTTTTATTTTTCTAATAAATATCTAACATAGACACTCTTTAATCTCTATCATGTTATGATAAATGTATCAATTACTCTATATATTTTTCTCATCCATATCTATAGTTTTTCTCCCTCTGCATTTTTTTCTCGAACTAAGAAGTGAACAAATACAAAAGATTAGGGGTGTTGCAGCCCCCGCTTGGTCAGGCGATCCGCCGTCAAGATCCTTCCTTTTAATGCCAACCAAATGAAGAATTTGCAGCGTAGAGGTGCCCAGCTCCGCCAGATTCTTTGCCATGCTGCAAATTTTATGGAACCAACAAAGAAGGCCTCGTAAGCGGACTTGCTGCTATATGTACCAGTTTGGGTCAGCTTCCATCGAAAATGATCCTGAACTTCCTGCTGCAAGACCACTCTATCCAACAAGTCCCAAATCCTAAAATAGTCCATCAGAACTGGGACAGTGAGAGCCCCTTTTATGTCAGACGCCCAGACCCTATTATTTAGAGCTTGTGCTACTGTCCTTGATCTCACCACCCTTTTGGGGATGGCTTTATAAAGGTTGGGAGCTATTTCTGCCATAGTGTTGCCATTTATCCAGCGATCTGACCAGAATAAAATTGTGTCCCCATTTCCAACTATTGCATCAACCGCCATATGAAACAAGGCTTGAGCTTTTTGTGGTACCTGAATGGTGAGACCAGCCCAAGGTCTTGATGGATCTGTTTTCTGTGCCCAAAGCCAGCGGATCCGAAGTGCCCAACCAAAATATTCCAGATTGTGAATGCCCAGCCCTCCATATTCAAAAGGCCTCTGAACCTTTTCCCAGGCTACCAGGCAATTTCCTCCATTAGCCTTTTCCTGTCCTCTCCATAAAAATCCCCTCCGTTTCTTGTCAATGGCTCTGATAACCCATTTGGGAAGATCCACCGCAATCAGAAGGTAAATTACAGTGGCTGTCAGGACCACCCGTGTTAAAACCAAACGGCCTGCTCTATTCATCAGTGAAGCTTTCCAACCTGGTAGATGGTCCGCGACCTTGTCAATGAAGGGCTGGAACACCTCCTTAGTTGGCTTTCTCAAGGTCAGCGGCAAACCCAAATAGGTACACGGGAAGTCTTTGATTGCACAGGCCAAAATATCAGAGGTCTGCTGCAAGTCATCATCTGACTCCCTCTGCATTGTACCTTCAAGTATCTTCAATATATATTTTGTTTAAAACATAGCTAAAGTTATGGCAGTGCCCATGTCTCATGATGTTTTGCACTAGATTTTGACTTTTAAATTTTGATCATATAAGTTGCTATTTTTTTTTGCCTGCACGTTAAGTTGAAATTCTTGTGCTTATGATTGTACCTTTTATTCAAAATACTCATTTTGTAGTTGTTTATCAAAATAAGGTTCTAGGTTTTAGACTGCACTCTTAGTTACTGCAATGGCATAAACGGTCATCAAAACCTGCCAACAGCAGTCTTATTTCAAATAAATCAAAGGGCACCCCTGATAGTTAAAAGCATTCAAAGAACTAGTGCTTCACGAAATGCATTTAATCAAATCCATGTCTTCTCTCAGTGCATATTCGAGAGGCCCTTACCTCAAGGATGCATAAATGCAGGACAGCGAACACTTCATGATAAAAAAGACAAGAGGCCCATACCTCCTGCCAAGAAGCACTACGACTTCCATAAGGAGGCAGCTTCGAAACTAGTCATGGAAAGCCCCGGCCCCCAGCATAGTCGCATACTCCAGATATAGGGCCATCATGATTACTGGTACAAGAATATTGACTTTCAAGCACCAAAAGCTGCAAGGAATCTGCTGACATAAAAGTTTAGTCCGAAGGGGGTGTTTTGATTCGGTAAGGTTTTACAGACTGTTTACCGAGAAAGGGAATAGAATCATTTTTTTCTAAAAAAAATGATGATGTAGATTTTGTCTTCTAGTGTTGCAATACAATGAAAGACACCAAAACAAGATATTGCCAGGACTATTGCAAGACATCAACTGTTAAAACTCACAACTTCAAAGCAGTGGTTTCAAAAGTGGAAGTAAAAAAATCACAGAAATAAGGGGGAATCACCCAAATTCAACACTCAAGCTCTAGGAACCTCAACTTCAAACTGTTTAAACCTTAAGAATTTCTGAATTTGGACCACAGTCAGGGGCGGAGCCAGAAAATTGATATAGAGGGGACCATTGTCAACAACAAAGCATTGGTTAGCTGGCAGGAGGGTCCAAGTTCACTTAATACGCCTTAATAATTAGCATAAGAATCAAAGGTGTTCTTCTGTTTTAACTGGAGGATTAGGGGGTGTGCACCCCTTCCCTCCGCCTCTGACCACAGTCCACCCTTTCCAAACAGTTAACAGACACTTAAAGAAATTTATTTGTGCAACTAATAACACCCACCATGCAAACGAGAAGAATGGGATGAAGGGATGAGGGAACGGAGAGGTACAGACCTGAATTGATCCTCCAGGTGCCTCTGTTTAGTCCCCTGAGAAACTGACACCACACTGCTTGACATTGGGAGATATCCCAGAATCTCTAACTGTGAAATTGACTGAGCAAAGGCATGACCTATCAAGCATCAAATCAATCGATAAAGCATAGACACCTAGTAAGCTAGTAAAAGAATCATCCAGGGCTTTCAGCCATAGAGCTCGAACATCTCTGCTTTCAACAAGACTGAACAACTCTGCACCTCTGGCTGTCATATTGAGCGAGCAGTGCAAGGCATGGCATGGCAGAATCAGCAAGGCCTGGTGCTCCGGTCAGGTAAGAAACAGACACAGTTTCTGCCAAAGACTTCAAACCTATGATGACATTGCCTTACTTCAATTAAACTCGAAAAAAAACTGAAGATTTTGAAATGAAACAAAAAAATGTATTTGGAACCAATAAAATTCCTTCATTTGAAATCCATTGTTAACTCAGGCCCCGTTTGCTTCGCTGAAAAAATAAGCCAAAACACTGTTCCGGCTGATTTGTTGTGAGAGAAAAACACTGTTCCAGCTGAAAAAAACAAGCTGAAAAAGACGGATTATACGAGGAGCAAACAGGGCCTCAGTTTCCAAGTTAACTATTTTAATGCTACATGGGATACAATTCAAATTTAAAATATTGAAAACATCAATCACCTTTTTCCGGATTCACATCTCCCTTATGTACTAAGGTGGACTAGGCAAGAGCAAACTATGTCTGCTCTAAGTATCACAAGTTTACTTTGTATACTCCATCATTTGTACTTGGAAGGAAAACCCATGAGATCACAGATTCTTTGAGCATCCCAAAAAAATTACAACTGAGCACTAGCATCTAAGTATCTAACACAGATAGGACAGTAATTTGTATGAGCTTCAAAATTTTGATTACTAGCATAAAGTAGAAGGGACCACTACCTGGATCTATATTATGGCATCACAGAGTGGGAACTATAATAAAGTTCAGAGTATCGCCTAGCGGTGAATGAGGACCATCAAAAGTCATGAACAAACTGAAATCGGAACAGTTCAAATAGGAGTTAGCTTTCCTGGATAATTAAAAGCAAAGCACAAAACAAATTTGTAGTTTGCTTTCCTGATTTTGGTTTATTAGCACAAAGGGAACATTAAGGTTGTATCAGACCTTCTCCATGTTATATCATGAATTCATGAGACCATCTCCATTTCAGAGAGGATCCTAGGAATGTGTATGCCATGGACAGACAGTAGGATATGAAAAGACTTCAGGGCTGCATTGAACAAAGATGGTCCCAGGCTGCAGAAACAGCAGCATCTGACTACCTCCTAGAATATAGTTATCAAGGCATTCAACTTTCATTGTGATAAAAAAATAACATTAAAAAAATATCCTGTTTCTATGTGATCACAAGAAACTTAAATGGCATAATACAATACAGGCAATATGTGGTTGATATTTGCTCAGTGCTCATAAAGAAAACAATGGTACTGCACTCAAACTTCAAACCCAACTGGATGTTTTACTATTATATTATGAAACCTAAACATGTACTGTGCAGATTAAGCAGCCCTAGATGCAAATTGGAAGAATATTGGAACCTAAACTCACAGCATTCTAAGTTTCTGGTTTTACTTTATGAACAGATAAGAAGCATTCAGCAACATCCATATGTTATGAGGATCCACAGACCACAGAACATATTCAAACTTTCAGATCACAAATTTTAAGCAAGAGACGCACATAAGTTGACCAAAATGAAATGTTTGCTAAGATGTAAAAACCACATTACGAACACACATCTGAGACTGAGTATCTGACTAAATTGAACTTGCACAAAACCACTCCAATGAGCTGCTTTACAGACATTGTTCCGTGGGAAAGAGCTCTACTGATGAGCTGCTGGTACATATTTGAGTTGAGCAAACTCTACATGAACAAAAACAAGTCATATGACTCATATCGAGGAACTAGGCAAAGAATAAACAAATCTGCTAAATCCACTACTGATTACCCCTTGAAAGCATAGAAGACAACATATGCTTCAACAGAAGGAGAAATCACCTTCCTCTCACTTTTTGTTGCTATGTTACATGTCATGCTTAATTTTGTCCTTCTGAGTGGTCAGCAGCAACGGTGAGGCGTTCACTTTCAAGAAATGAAGGATCAAGGAACTTGGCAACAAAAGCCCACATCTTGTAAACATCTTCAAAGTTAGTAAGGAAGCCAAGTGAAGCAGTCACGACTTCAACTCTTATGGTCACCTTTTTATTGTCTCTGCGTCCATTCTTATAAAATGAAGCCTCAGGTATATCGAGCATGCCATTTAACTGTTTCTGGTTCATGTCTACTTTTATATGACTGAGAAAACCAATGCCAACAGATATGCCGTTTTTCTCAGCAATCTTTTGAACAACTTCAGCATTAACAAATGTTCCATCATTTTGCTTCACATTAAAAGCAACAGCTGCTCCCCTTTCATACTTAATCTTGGGACCATAGATGTGTACAAGAGGGACTCCATCACCACCTTTCGAGTCTGGCAACTTCAGTTGCAAAAGTGAAGTTACTAGCCAATTGATCAAGTATCTCAACCTAAGAGTAGTTCTGTTGAGTCCCATCATATCAACATGATCAATGTGCCTGCAAATTATCTCTGGCTCCCTCCTGCCCCAGTCCTGAGCATCATCATATCCATCACTTGCACAACCATCATCATCACGGAATGTATATCCAGAAGCTTCAGCAGCATCTGAGACCCGATTCAGCCTGTCAGCAATGATATTAGCCTCCGTGCTGAAAGAAACTCTGCGCCCCATGCTTAAACCTCCATCAATCTCTTCAACACCGAAGAGTCGCCCCCCGGTAAATCTGCTGTTGCCATCCCTACCTCCCAGCAGCCGGAATTCCCCTTCAGTCTCCCTTCTTATCGCACTTTCTTTGTGCTCTGCACCACCATTCATAGCATGTTGGCATGCCACCTCTTCGACCTCTGGCTCCTCTTGGATTTCACTAACCTGCCTGAAATGAGTTCTCCGCCCATTCTCAAAAATTTCTTCTTCAGGGTCTTCCTTGAGGCAGTCTGCATCTTGCGAGACTGATAGCACGGCTGCATCAAAGGAAATCACATGACCATCATAAAGTGGGCTTCTAGATATCCTGGAAGTTAAGTTTGGGGACATCCTCTTGTTACACTTTCTTCCGTTGAACCAAGAAGATGGTAATGGTGAACCCAGTTTCCCTTTCTTGAACTGACCAGACTTCTCTGACCCCAATGGGCTCTGGCCAACATCAACCCAGAAAGAGTTCTCTGATGAACAGTCCTCACTGAAGGCTGGACTCCTCATGACCTCACCCATAGAGACGCTCTCAGTTTCTTCAAAGATGGTGCTTGCCCCATCCCTGTCTGAGCTGCTGTCCCGACCAGGATCACTCTCAAAAGTCTCTCTAACCTGAGCAGACGTGTAGACACCTGAAAATGCTGGCAGCTGCGACCCATTTTGAGCATTAGAAGACGGCTTTTCATCTTTGTTAACGCCTGCATCATCTTCAAGCCCATCAAATGCATCAAAACCATCAACTGAGTCACTGAGATACTGTGGAAACACTGGAACAATCCTCACCATTCCTGATGCATTACACCCATTTCTCCCCTGCAGTGTCCCAATTACTGACTTCTTGATCAGAAGGCAACCAAACCCAGTTGGGTCTGCACCAAACACCCTGTAGAACGAAGTTATAATGAAGTCTGGCCGAAATAGGGAGAGCCCCAGTGAATCCATGTCCTTAGGGCCAAGTGCACCAGCATCAAGCATCACATGCCACCCATTCTGCTGTGCCAGTGCCATCCACTGGTAGGAGTACTTGGCGCCGGTCACCCGAGACTGCGCAGGGAAGACAAACAAACCAACTGCAGCATCCCGTCGCCGCCCCTTCTTCTTGCCGACGATCTCCTTCCGCAACTCCGTTGAGCAGAGCTTCAGTGTTGGCCAGCGGAACCATGCAGTGTGCGTCTTGGCACCCTTTGCCCGTGCACTCTGTGCCATCCAATTGACCGACTGGCTCTCATGGTCGAACATGGTCAGCAGCCTCCGGTTGGTCTCGAAGGGGTAGCATTCAGCAAGCAGCCGGAACGCTGACCCACGGCTCACTGTGAACACCAGCGCATACTCGCTGGCTGGCACATTCAGGTACTCCAAGATGCGCTCTTTGATGTCATTCTCCACGGTGCCGGGCTCAGCGCCGCCATAGAGCGCATGGTTGCTCAAATTGGCATTGAGCTCGTGCAATGTGAAGGACGACGAGGAGGAATCCCAACTGGAGTCGAAGAGGCCGAAACCGCAGTAGTCTAGACAGACCCTCCCGGCACCGGGGGCGTCGAGGTGGGAATAATGGTCGACGCGGAGGCGGTCGACATCGGCGGTTGAGGCGTAGTCCGGGTACATGGCGATGAAGGTGGCGATGGCGTGGGGGAGCAGCGGGAGGTCGGAGAGAGACCGGAACGGGCCGGCGGCGGCGGCAAGGGCCGTGGCGCGGAGGAAGTCCCGTTGCGCGCGCAGGCGCGCCAGGGAGCGGGAGCGGGACACTGCGGCGTCCGCATCGGCGCCGGCGGTGTCTGGCGGCGGGCAGAGTGAGCCATCCTCCGACGCTGCGTCGAGCGCGTCCCGCAGCTGCCGCAGGAAGGAGGACGTGTCGTCACGGTGGCCGTTGCTGCCACCACCGTGCCCACCGCCCCCGCCGCCACGGCGCCGGTGGTTCTTGGCGAGGAGGACGGAGGCGCAGTGGGATAACGGCTTCCATAGCGACAGATGCATGGGCCTCGGATCGAGAAGACGCCGCTCTCCGGCGGAAAAATCGTAGCTTTCCGGTGGCGGTTTGGATCAACGAGCGGAGTGAGGCATGGAGTGGGCAAACCCCCCCCAGATTTCCGTGCGTAATGGGGAGATTTTGGACCAACGAGGGCAGGAAAACTGCAGTTTCGGGAGGAAAAACTGGATCTTTGGGTAGCTGGTTTCTGGGCGAATCAAGAACTGCGGTGGTGGAGCACTGGGCGTGGAAATCTGAGGTTTTCGTGGAGGGAACGGGATTGAGAGGCGAGGAAACTGCAGACAGAAATTCGAGCTTTGTGGTGGGAGGGATTGGGGAGGGTTTGAAATGCCAGGACACCCCTCACCTTTGCAAACAAAAGGTGAGGTCTTTTGCTTTTGGCAGGATCAAGAACTCAAATTAAAGAAAAGAGCACAGCATCAAACAAGGGGAGAAAAAGAAAGCAGAGAAAAACATAAGATTTGACTCCACTTTTTCCGCCACTCCAGCCGTTCAGCAAGAACCGCTTGGTAAATGAAATGGAATGGGGTGGGGTGAGATATGACTGAATAGTTCTTGAAATCTACAGCTACTCCTACATACAAACAGGAGATGGAACAGAATCCAGCTCGATTCACAGATGAGGAAGAAAGAAACCCGAGCTCAGAGGCAGATGCAGAAACCAGCTCCAAGCCACACACCCTAGCTCCTCTCAACTCACCAAACCCCTTGCAGGTGTTTTCAATGCCACTAAATGCAGCGCGTCATGATGAGGAGGTTGCATTCATTGCCTTTGCAAGAGCTACTAGCAGGCAGCAGCACATCACCAATCACCAACTTTTTTATTTGCTCTCTGGTTGTTCCTCCCTCCTCCTCCTACCTCTTGCTCTGGACTGGAGTAATAAAGTACTGACAGTCACTCTTTTAGGGGCCGCCGTTTGTTTGCAAGTGTACTGTGGCCTTGTTTAGATTGACTCAAAGTTGTAAGTTTTTTCACTCTCTCTGTTACATCAATTTTTGGACGCATATATAAAAATAACTAATTGTACAGTTTAGTTATAAATGATGAGACGAATCTTTTAAGCCTAGTTAATCTATGATTGGACAAAGTTTATCAAATACAAACGAAACATACTATAGTGTTTAGATTATAAAAATTTGCAATCTAAATAAGGCCTATCTTCACCGAGTAAAAACAATCGGCCCGTTTGTTTGCAAATTTACTATCTTCTCAAGTAAAAACAATCCACCAGTTCGGTTGGCTGGTTCGTTTCATTGCTGATTCGTGAAGAAATATTGTTGATTAATTTGTGTGACAGAAAAATACTATTCCAGCTAGAAATTTAAGATCGTATACGACAAGCACCAACCAAACGAACAGACTAAATATTTAGTTTGGTAGTATTATTTTTCCCCTGGGCCCTACCTTACAGTGTGTAGTAATAGAGTGGGCTGGCTGTAAAGCAGCAGTTGCATCAAACAAGTGCTTGTGCATTGACTTTTTTTTTTTTATTTGGGAAACTTTCTCCCCATTTGAAAAGTCACGTTGGGTTGGTATTAAAGTCGACTAATAAGTTGGCTGAAGCTATTTTATTATGAATGAAAAATATTATAGATTCTAGTTAATAAGCCGACTGATAAGTTCAAACGAACAAGCCTCCTGTCTTCGTTTTTTTTTTGTCTATGGGGTTAAAGCAAAAGCATGCCACAATGATCGTCTTCTTGACTGATTTGTGGAGCTGTCTTGGGCCTTTTCGCCTAGTTTCGTGCTGCTTTTCTTGCACTTCATGATGATTTGTTATAATAATGCATACAACAAGTTTGTATCGGTTCAAGGAGTAGCTCCTTATCTTTGAGATAGTCCTTACTCCGTAGAACGAACGTGTTGTTTCCATCAGCTTGAATTTTAATGGTGAGAACTACTACTACCAAACCGAGGCCTGGTTTAGTTCGTAAAAATTTTCACCCCAAACTATTACATCGAATCTTGTGGTACATGTATAAAGTGTTAAATATAGACGAAAAAAAAGCTAATTGCACAGTTTAGTTGGAAATCACGAGACGAACGTTTTAAGACTAATTAGTCCATAATTAGTCAAAATGCTACAGTAACTAACATGCGCTAATGATAGATTAATTAGGCTTAATAAATTCGTCTCGTGGTTTTCAGACGAGCTATGTAATTAGTTTTTTTTTATTAGTATCTGAAAACCCCTTCCGATATTTTCAAAACATCCGAGGTGACATCCAAAAATTTTATTTCGCGAACTAAACACAGCCTGACTTCCATCATTGAAAACCTGTAGTAGTGCTAGCATTGATATTCAAACAGTGTTTTTGGTGTTGTGTGTTTATCCATTGACGTTTTCCATTTCATGATTCTGGTCGTCTCACGCCATGGGCCTATTTTTGTCCAGTTCGCTATTGTTGACTGATTTATTATAAAAAAATATTATTTATTGATTGAAAAAATATGCCTTTTGTCAACTCGACGTGACACCCGTGATGTGGGTGGATGGATGGATGGATCAGGTCAGGTGAGGCGTGTGTGTGCGCATCTACTCCTAGCTGCTGCTGCACGGAGAATCCAGCGTGTCAGTGGACAGTCAAATGGCCACATAGCCTTGTGAAGCAGTGAGCTGTCGCCAAAAAGGCTCGGGGCCAAGGAAGCTTTTTTCATCGCCCCATCCAATCCAATAATCCATCGTCCATGCTGCCACTCAGGCTGAATGATGGCAATAGTTTCTGCTCGGCCTCATGCCCTCGTCTGAATCTCGTCTTTTGTCCATTGGGTCTAAAGTCAATTTCTTGTCAAATCTTGAAGTTATGCTTTAGGAGGATAACTGAAATATCACAAGAATTTCGTAATTTTTTGCTATGTTCGCTTGGCTTATTAGATATAACTGAAAATACTGTTGGCTGATTTGGTGTGAGAGAAAAATAATATTCATTGGCTGAATAAAATACGGCTTATAAGCCAAGCGAACATGGCGTAAATGTTTTCCTAGTACTTTTCATGTATTACCTGATTGCTAGAGTAAGGATACCATTTTTTCACATAAATTTGTGAAATCTTTTGAAATCATAATTGGAAGAGAGCAGTTTATACGATTCGGTAACTCAATTGAATGCTGAGTCCGTTACAGTTGGAATATTGCCATCCAAGAAACTGTACATCAATCAACCATCACCCAACCTCCTTTGTTGTTTGCGCCTTTGGAGGCACAAACATGGCTTTCCACGCTTGCAAGGAGGATGCAGGAGGCCTGGTGTAGAGATCAGGATGATGTAGAGTCCTGGTGTACAGTCTTTTCGATTATTGTAATGTAATCCTTTTAACTCCCCCCCCCTGTAGTTTAACTTGGACCTTCCAGAGTTCAGAGGGCCACTCCATTCTATTTTAATGAATGGAAATTTCCAGGGGATCCTTCGCCCCCGGTTGACCTCCTTTATCAGAAATAAAAAAAAAGATAGTAGTGTGTTCTTTCTTCTTCCTAGTCCATTCCCATAATAAGATCCCAACTGTTATTGGTTGGGCATTCAAGCCTAAAACTTCACCCATTTTTCTGTCTAACTATTTGTGATGACAACCAGGGGCGGATCCAGGGCCCGGGCTGCAGCCCGGGGCGAGTCCATGTAGCCCCTTTAACATATGTGGTGTTTAGCCTAAAAAACTATGATCTTAATTAGATAAAAGAAGACCTAGAAAGTAAGATCAAACTGTTTTGAACGTGAATCAGCAGCTCAGCTCGGGGCGCAGCCCGTTCTAGATCCGGCCCTGATGACAACTGACAAATACAGGACCACATTATGCAGATGGGGCAAGGACAACTGGACAAGGGAGTGAGATAAATAAACTCCAGGTCATGTTGCTGTACCTTCCAATTATTTATGCCTTTGCTTCCCTATCCCTGGAATTGAATATGTACTGGAACAAGGAGTAAAAGCCTCCCCATCCTAAAAAGATGCAATTCTAATCTAGACCAAGTCGAACTATCTTAACTTTGATTAACTTAAAAAATAATATCAGTATTTATGATTTCAAATAGGTACACAATATTTCATGATAAATCTAATGGTAGTGATACATATTTAATTACTAAATATTAATATCTTCTTATATAAATTTGATCAAACTTAAGAAGATTTAACCGGATACTATTTTAGAATTGCATCTTTTCGGAAGGGGGCACTGCCTATCAGGAATTCAGGATACGAGTAGATAATAAAACAGCAATCTGCTCAACTACATATTATTTTTATGCTAAACAAACTACATATTATTTTAAAACAGAAAAGGAAAAATGTACCAATGTGGATCAATTGGTTCTGCGTAGACAAGACTACTGACTTCCTAGGTCAGGGTCAGCTCATGTAGGGCAGACAGACCTCATTTCCAGTCAGATCCCGGTGCACTAAAATAATGCCCCTAGATACCAATTCACAAATCAGCGCGTGTTTAGTTGAAGTCCAAAATCCAAAAAAATGCTACAGTGCCTGTCACATCGAATATTTGTGGCTCATGCATGGAGCATTAAATGTAGATGAAAAAAAAACTAATTGCACAGTTTGGTGGAAAATTGCGAGACGAACGTTTTGAGCCTAATTAGTCCATGTTTAGACAATAATTATCAAATAAAAACGAAGATGCTACAGTAGCCCTAAATTCCAAATTCCTGGAACTAAACCAGGTCTCAGATTAAAAGATCCCATCCCCTCCTCCCTAGTACTAACACAGTACATGATTATTAGCTGCAAATTGCGTTGCCACTTGCTCCAACTCACTGACCTTATCATTGACAAATCGATCGATCTGAAATCAAACACCAATAACACACTAGAGATGATCTGAACTGACTGAAGTCCGAAGAAACCAAGCATCAGCTTGTTGCACGCGCTGCAAAACGTCTGCAGAATCAGGTAGGTTCGTTCTTGCACAATACAAAGGGCGCGTTTAGATGTCAAAAAATTTTGGCCTCAGCCAAAAACCTGACAGCAGCAGGTTTTG